CTAATAGCTTCTTGTTACTACTAGTAAGGCACTTGTTACTACTAGCGTGGCACTTGTTCCTAATAGCTTCTTGTTACTACTAGTAAGGCACTTGTTACTACTAGCGTGGCACTTGTTCCTAGTAGCTTCTTGTTACTACTAGTAAGGCACTTGTTACTACTAGCGTGGCACTTGTTCCTAGTAGCTTCTTGTTACTAAAAATCAAAGACCCTTTGCAAGAGTATATGCAAAATATACATGTTTTCTCCTGAGTTTGTGGCAGTGGGTGGTCACCGGAGCATGGTCACAGTCTTAAGTGAAGTTTATCCTAAACTTGAAACACATATTACCCAAAATCCGGTACAGGCTTCTATCCCAGCAGTTTGTTTTTGGTCATTCTTGGTATAATTGAATGCGTAACAATACAACCTTGAGACAGTTTCTTGGATTGGTTTCAGATTGTTCCTTTAATATGCCTCTAACGATTGATTTTGCATTAATCACCAATATCTACTCGAGGAGAAGCAAACATTCCAAATATGTTGTTCCTTCGATTCACTTCAATCACCACAGATTTCACCGAGACCGAGTCATGTTTTACTCCAAGGCCTCCACCGCATCCGCATCACCTTGAGCAGCCGAGATGCCCGGGACACCGAGCAACGGAGAAAGCCGTGGTGAACGGTGTTCAGCTGAGGGGTCGACCGGTGCAGGACAGCCACGCGGGAGCATGTTGAGCATGGAGCAACTCCCAAGAATTGTCTTTGGAGGATTGAAAGGGGTTGCTACACAAAAGACAATTCAATGGACCCTTCAAGCGGCCCTTCTATCAAAAGTGGCATCAGTTACTGTAAATTTGCAGGATGTGTGACACTAAACCTGCGAAAGGGTTGATGTTTGATCCAGCACATCTAACTCAAAACCTGGAGTTGGACTTCTTCATCGAACTGTTTCGAGGAGCGGCTGCAGCGAAACAGCAAAGTCTGGGAGACATAATGAAATCACATGAAACCATCGTGTCATAGCGAAATCAGCCTAAAATTGGTAAATTAGATTAACTTTCCGTTTTGGCAAATCCGACTCCTTGTTCTCAATATGGCTAGAGAGACCTCCGGGGCCAGCTCCGCCATTCCCAGGTGCGTGCACTGGAGAAGGTTTGCACCGATCTGGTCAGTGGAGCTAAGGCCAAGGAGCGACGGGTCCAGTCCCAGGAGGGTAGCTCATCGATCAGGAGCATGGTTTGCTAATGAGTCCCCAAATGTACCAAAGCATTGTTTAAATCATGTTTATGTTCCTTTGAAAAGACCCAGAAGCAGGCACCAAAGCTTCGTTCGAGTTCGTTTTGCCCCGGTGCACGTTGGCCGCAGCGGAGGAGTTGAAGGTGGCCGGGCCAATCCGTCAAGAACCCCCAGCAGGGCGGGAGAGCAGTTTGGGTGGCGGTTGGTTCTCCATTGTGGTGGGCTGGATGGGTTCGTTGATTTGCACGATTTCAACGATTTTGGAAGTTGATTTTGCCAGATGTTGTATTGATTAAGTTTTGTTGGTTACTCTTGAAAACAACAGGAGCGCTCGAGAGTTCATGTATTTGCAATTACTTGTTTGTTTATACTTTGCAAGTTGAAGGCCTCATTTCGTTATATCCAAGGTGCTTTGTCATTTGCTGTTTGTCAGTGTTGGGATCTGCTTTAAATTGTCCACCGACGTAGGAAGCTTTCCAAAGACGGTCCTTGCAGGACATTCCGGCGAGAGAGAATGGGGCGCTAGTGAATGCGTGTCATGTTGACAGATGTTGTCCTGGCAAGCTTGGCCAGAGAGGAAGCACCCTGCAACCTACCACTTGAGAGAATCTGTGACACCTGAGAGTCACACCTGATTTCAGCGCCCAAGCTGCATGACTCATCGTGCGCCTGGGGGGGGAGCTATGCAGATGAGATGTGCGAACTCAGCCGACCCATGGCGGCCTCACTGCCGTTGAAAGATCAGAGGACGGTTTCCTAAAGTCCTCCGTCAACGTGACGAGGAGCTAGTCCTGCGTTCCTTCGACAGCAACTGAGGCGAAGATCGTCAGTCGAAGATAGTCAGTCAGTCGACGCCAGTGAAATGGACCATGCACCAGAACGCAGCCATGGAGGTCCCACGCAGCAATTTTGTCCACCTACCTACCGAAAGCCAGGCGGCAACTCCTCAGCAACGGTATCATCTTAAGCCGTTTTGGGGCACCACAAAGTCAGCGCCGGGGGTGGCACGCACAGGAAAAGCCAGACGGGAAGACCCTTTTGAGATTAGTGATTCACTGGGGAGTTTCTGTTCGCAAAGGAAGGATCCAGGGCACACGGGCACGGAGCCTGATTCATTGAGAGAGAGAGATTGGTATTTCGTAGCCAAGCAGTCTGGTCGTCCCAAGGTTCCTGAGTCACTCGTCCGGTCCCGAAGAAACTGAGCACTCTGGGAGCTGTTCCAGATTGTTCAGCAGGAGAAATGAAAGAAATTGAAAGATCTTGTCTTGGTTGAAACTCCCGGACCTCCAGGGAAGTTGTTGCCCAGCTGGTGACTGGATCATCAAGCGAGCCGGACAAACGGAAGATGTCCGTTGTTTGCCAACGCACTGTTTGCAGGTGTTGGCTGGGCTGGGTCCCCATCAGTGGATTCCCGCGCGAAGGGCTAGGTAGACCCTAGGGTCGAGTTTGTCTCGCCTCCTGTTTGGCTTTGGTCGGGTTCGAAACATTGCCACCGTTTGGAGGTAGCTCTTTGGGGTGACTGGCTGAGGCCTTCCAACCAAGATCCTCCGCCTCATGGTACGTAAGTCGCCCTGCGGAGAAGGCGCGGCTGGAGTTGGGACCCGCAAGCGTGGGTGGGTGTTGTGCTGATGCTTGGAATCCACTTCAAACGACGCCTGGATGTACAGCTGTTAGGAAGTGGAGATTTGTTGGAAGGGTGTCTCACCATCAAGAGAGCCAAAGCAGCTCTTTGCATTTCCCAGGTCCTGGCTCCTGATTCCGGATCAGAGTGCCCTCAGTTGACTTCACCACACCTCATTCAATCAAGATATCAAGGAATCCTTGATGTTAGAACAACTGATTGATATCATTGATATGAGGTTTGCTGAATCATGCATCCTCGTCTCAAGATGATGAGGTCTCCACTATACGTCACACCGATCCCTGACGGAACGTTCAACAGTCGCACTGCGACTGGCAGGTTCAATCATCCCAAATTGCCAAGTGATGGTCATGTTCATTGTTCATGTTCAAATGTCCCAAAATCAAGGGCTTCGCAACTCGCAACCGTGGACGAACCGCGGCGAGAAATCGCCGAAGGGTCTGAAGGATCGAAGAAGCGTGGAACGACTCCGAACGACATGGGCCATGTCGATGAGAGACTTGAGCGACTTGCTTCGATGGAATTTGGTGCGCTCTAACTCACTATGGAAGTCACCCCTCTCTTTATCTCTTGGAAATTCCAATAAGTTCTGTGTATCCTCCTTGAATATAGATGCATAATGATGCATATATAGGTGCTATGCTATCCACGTCTATCACAGGTTGCATGTGGTGTGACCTTGTAATCCCTCACGCTCAGTGGCCTGCCATTCCCCAGCAGCTGCGGCGGCTCTGAGGTTCAACTTTGGAGCCGGTCTACAAGATACAAAGTTATCATGAAGCATAAAGTAGGCGATTTGGATACACACATTCCTATCAACCAGATGTCGTGATACAGAATGCCTGCCTGCAGGTTCTCTTGTAGCATGACACTATGACATACAAGCGTTCTACGACTTCTGCTTTGCGGATGCTCTTACTTACTGTATATACATGGATTGATAGGTCATTATCAACTAGTCCTGCAGTTTGGGATCACCAGTCTCCATGTACTTCGATTCATGCACTCGCACCATGAAGCATTACAATGAGTTAAACAAACTTGAACCGTCCTCTTGGCACAAAAACGATTTCAGCCATCCACTGTTGAAAGATTCAGAAGGCAGGGGCATTTTTCATGTGTCCCTTCTCGGAATGCGCCACCGTCCCCGCGCCGGGACATGGCAGCCGCTCACGGCAGCGCCGCCCACGGCAGCGCCGCTACATGGCGTCGGATGGGCTTTGACCATGACGCCCCGAGCGGACGATTTCGAGTCGCACGGGAATGGCAAGGACACTCGAGCGGACTCGGAAGGACACTCGATTGAACTGGTTTGGGGTGAAAGGTACGAATGGTCGGTCTATGTCATGTCCAATCAATCTACAGATGGGTATTCGCCTACACAAGGTTTTTGAGTCAGAGGCTTTGAGGTAAACGTAGTAAATACCTCAGCGGGAAGAGCGTTTGTTCTTCTGCCAAGGCTCAAGATAAGTCCATACACCTGTGGGAAATGTACTTCCACAACGAAAAACAACGTGAGGCGGACTTCAAAAAGCATGTAGAATGTAAATTGTGTTCAACCAAACAGCTTGTGGAGAAACCGGACCCAAGGGGGAGTTGGATGGATTCTAGAGGACGACGGGCGTCTAGCGTCGTGCCGATGCGCCCATCAACGGGTCGGTTTTGGATGCATTTGGCCGGTGGTTGTAGCGTTGCATGGATGACTGGGCACAGTGGGAGGGAATCTCCAGAAAATAGATTGAATTGGATATATATATATATATACATATAGATAGAAATATATATATATTATATATAGATTATCAACTTCGATTGACAAAATCATTGTTGTTGGGGCATGTCAGGGCAACTAAATCATATGTTTTGTCGTAGTGACTCATAGCTCATCATTGTTCCACCCTAATTAGTGCAGAATCAATGGTTCTAATGAGGAAGCAACCCTCTGGATGCCAGTGGTATTGTGTCCAGTAGGAATCCATTGCCAAATAGATAGACCAGGTAACCCTCCCTAATAGAAAAAGATCATTGGCACCGTATGACATTGTGAACCAATCTATTTCTCGTATTTGACGTCGGATTCATCAAGGGTGTGCGTGTGTGCTACTATGAAAGTGCCGCTGCCTAGGACAGTTTTAGTTAAAATAATAGGTACCTATCTAGTCCAATTTTGTGTGCCAATCGTTTTGAACCACAATGGACCATAAGCCAGACATCGCACCCTGCTCTGAGGCCCAACGCTATCCTTTGCCCTGGCTCATCCACTGTAAGAAAGCCAACCTGTCCTGCCTCCCCAGCACCATTGGCTGTTTGAGAAGATTGATGAGTTCTTCGAGTGACAGGCGAAACGTTGAATGTTTCGAGGGGATCGATGGCGACGACCATGCTTGGTGGAGCGATGGTGTGGAGTGAAAGCAAAAAATAGGCGTTCATATTCTGCGATTGGCAAAGGCATTGACCCCAGAACCGACTGAAAGAGCTTTCTCATGCTTTTTCTCCGCACAGTATTCCTTTGGTTCCATTGACCTGAGGACCAAGAGTCAGAAGAAACCAATTTTGAGGGTTTCTGCTCTATACGCGACATGTGATTTTCTGGCGAAGGCTTGCTTGCACAGGAGCCGGACGGTGTTAGTGTTTGCCCCTGCGTTGAACTCTGAATTGTGCCCAGAGGGGCGTAACCCGTGGGTGATAAAGACTTTATCCAAGACCACGCTCCAGTAAGCAGAAAAGACTGCCTACCTACTGGTCATCGGTGACTATAGTTTTTGTTCATCCCCCGCCAGGCAGGATGCGACGCCACGGATCAATATTTGTTTCAAGAAGAAGCTGAAGATAATGGACCATGGTTGGGTGCACCGCTGTCTCCTGCTTGGTGGCAGGTGAATCCATCTGACTATAATCAGACACCCACCCAGCCGGGCTGGAACCGATCAACCTCCCAGGACCCTTACATCCACCAATTGCAGTGATGTTGATCCCAGGACCCCCCCGCTCTGGTCGCAATCCTCAAACCTTTGGGCTCGACGGAAGCTCTGGTGTTGTGGCCAGTGCATCCTTCACTTGTAGCCGGCTTCGTCAGGCTTTGCCTGAAGGACTCAGTGAGCGGTGCGGCATCGCCTGTGGCGGTGGCGACCAGGTTGATCCTCCAGAAGTGTCGCCTGGCAGGATGGAGGCGAGCAGAAGGAAAAAAAGATAACAGTAATGATAATGACTGCAAGACTATTTGCATACGTGCTTATGATGCTGCTTATGTGTTTATTTGATGAGTCTTGTGGTTCAGTTGTGCAAGTTGTGTAGGAAGGATTTTTCTTGAACATGCATCTAATTAGAGATGTTTGTTTTGAAATAGAGTTTGTTTGGGTTGTGTTTTGACTTGGATACCACACCGTCTCTCCATTGTAAGTCTCTCGGCCTCGAGGTCAACGACCACCACGCTGGGCCTTGGCCCTCCATTACCTGGATGAAGTGCCGCTGGGCACTGTGAACTAAATCAAGATATTTTTTATTACATACACATATATATATATGTGTGTATTATTTGACATGTTAAATTAAGCTGCGGTTAGATGTGGTGAATGTGCCAAGGAAAATCTATGGTTCGGTCCTACAATGAATGTTGGTTCTTTTGAATCTTGAAGTTCTCGGTTCTCATGGCACAACCTGCACACCGGCATCCATTTGGGGGAACCAAACCGGGTCGGTCACGCCATATCACGACGACGGGAGCGTCCTTCTGCTGTCCAACTGTGAGGTCAGAGGTCTTGGTGCCGGACGTGGTGTGCTTCAGCGCGGTCATCGGAATTTGCTCTAAGGCCACGGTCTGGCCAGCGGGACTTCAAGTGTTGCAGCAGATGCAGAAGGCAGATCACGGATGGGGCAATGGACGTGTGGAGTGTTGTGCTCGAAGAGTTGGGGAGGCCACAAAGAAATCCAAACAAATAGAGAACCTATATATATAGCCTATAGTATAGTCACTTACCCTTTAAGTCCAGAGTTTAGTTATAGATATGCAATGTATACATTTATAGCCTGACGTGTTTTCATGTTTCTATGTGTTGCTTTCAACGTTTCGGAACAATCTCAAACCACCTCGGGTGACGTTTTGTTTAGTTTATTTCTTGGGATACCATGAGTGAATTCGTCACAGTTTGTCTCAAGATGAGGCACCTCCCATCCGGCGGGCAAAGTACTGATCTTTGAACCAATTCTGGGGCGTGCCGAGCAAATGAAGGTGATTACCATTCACCAATAATGCTTTCAGAAGGAACCAAAGGTGGGTCCCAAGTCTTTCAAGTCCCCGCTTTTCAAGACTAGGTGCAAGTAGCTCCCAACCTCATCACCTACAACTCCCTCGTGGCAGCTAGCAGCCGGGCCACCCAGTGGCACTTGGCCTTTCGTCTGATCGACGAGATGAAGCTACAACTCCTACAGCCAGACGCTTGGAGTTGGACAGATAGTCCGACCAATCCAGACATGTGAGGGACACAGGAAAGCAATATGTTATACATACACATAGGCCGGTGGCATGTCTCAAAAGGGTGTTGGTACAGACATCAGGAATTTGCTGGAGAGGTGGATCAATACACTAGTTGATGGACACAAAACATATACACATATTGTGCCACAGCAGCATTCCTTGAGATACGAAAGGCCCTGTAGATGCCGTAGACATAGAGAAAGCCACTCTCCACTCAAAACTGTAGCTCGAAAATCAGGTGCCCCATGCTGCTCCCAACTTTCCAAAATGAAACACATGACCGTGACACATGGGGGTTCCTTGGTTTTAGATCTCCAATATTCGAGACCTCAGGCCCAGGCTGTTTTTTGCAATGCGTCACACGCGGCTGGTCCCATGGTGTAAGGGTTAGCACTTGGGACTCTGAATGCACGGATCTGACCGTTTTTGTTCGCACCTTGTTACTAATAGCTTCTTGTTACTACTAGTAAGGCACTTGTTACTACTAGCGTGGCACCTTGTTACTAGCCTTCCAAGGACCAGGTGACCTACAACACCTCCCTGGTGGCGCTGCGTCGTGCCGGCCTCGCACGACAGGCGCTGCGCGTCCGGCCGTGGAGTGACCAGGCACATGCGGATGCATATACCTACTGTGCCGCGGCTCTACTTCGGAATTTTGGATTGGACTGTTCCAGTGGATGGAAGCTATCGGAAGATGGAAGGTTGTGATACTAGGAATGTTGTTCAAAGTTGTTTGATTGCCACAAGTGTGCCCAAAAAGATAGTTCGATCTTTTTGGGGAGGCGGTCTTTTCTTCCACCACAGGGGTCACCAATGCAAGGTGTGTGGTAGATCCCAATCAGGCATTTTTATATACATATGTTCACCCTCATCCTCCAGCCTCGGTTCGGGAGCGACAAAAGGACACGAGTCACGAGGAACCTGCAAGAATCAGTTCCATGTCCTTTGGGGCTACATGCTTGATTACCACCGGTGCACAAGGACCTGCCTGGCAACATGTTTGGACATCTAGGGCTGATCTTTTGCAGGGCACAATGGGGCCCAGTTTTTTTGTCCATATCAAAAACATGTAAAATAATCGAACCTCCACAGTCACTTTCAGAGTAGAAGAACTCAAGAGGTGGATGAAGATGGATCTGAAGAACTGATTTGATAATCTTTGTGCCTCTTGCGCTTTCTACTGAGAAACTTATCAGGACAGAAGGGGCAAGGGGACGCGTTGGACCCCTAGACGCGGACACTTCTGGGAGAGGTTTGAGGGAAATCGAGTGGGATTTGAGAAACCACTGCATCCCACTCCTTGACCAGCTCTGCTCGCATCACATCGTCGCTTGCTGAGGTGCTTGGATAAGTGCCTGCAGTAAGACGACACAGTGGGCCAAAGCGCTGAATCTGGTGGAGGATGCCCAAAAGCGAGAACTACATCTCAACAAATATGCCACTCGGTCGGTTCATAGACTACAGAGTTTGATTGGGTCGATGGGATGGATAGTTGGAATGGCGACCCCCAGCCAGACCAATAGTAGGAGGGCCAAGCTGACCCGTAATTGGTCCATCGACCCTGAATTGAACAGATACTGCTGGTAATATCCAGCACAACCTGCAGTGGTAGGTATTTGACGCTTCTCAGAATTTGAGGAATCCCATCATTTGGTGGAGAATTGTCAAGAGTTCTGTTGAATTGTCAGCAACTGCCCGGATTCTGTCCCTCGTTCAATCTCAAGTACGCAAAGCAACGCAGGGATTGCTGCGCTCCCTTGTTCCCTTGCTTTGTGGGATCGCTGTTTGACTGCCGCATCCGATGTTCCTGAGTCCCGGACGAAGGTCTTGAGCGCTGCCATTGCTGCCTGTGGGCGTGGCTTGCAGCCGCGCCACTTGGAGCAAGGAGCGTGTAACTGGACGTATAGGGCAACCATTAAGAAAAAGTCAGAAGTTAAGAGTGGCCCTTCGCGGTGGTGCAGTGACTAGACATAGAGGCTTGTATAGGTGTTATTTTTTTTGCATACTTTATACCTCTTCCTGGTCCTAGATAAGCTTGTGATTGGGCGGAGCCCCCGCTGAAAAAATCCAGAGATGAAGCCTTGCACCTTCACGTGAGAAGCATAGATACAAATGACACATAAAGACCATGCATAAGTACATATCAGACCAGATCAGTATCAGGTGGAAGCACCTATGCGCTGGTGCGAGGCTCCGCCCACCGAGGCCAAGCCCTTCAGCTTTTGCTCTCGGATGCGACTGCCAGTGGCTTTGCTGGTTGGTCCTTGGGGGGAACATCATGGACCCCCCCTATTCAGATGACCGCATGCCGTCACATGCCCATATACATCCCCGTTCCTTTACCAAATTGAGGCTTTCCCATGGTTTTCGCTTCGCAGGTCGAGGAGTGGAGTGGACGGACGGAAGGGGGTAAAGATGGGTAAAGGGATGACCCTTTCACGTCAGTTTGTTCATGTTGAAACCAAAACGATCGGCCTCCCATTACGTTGTGATTGCGGCCTCCCATTGACCAATAATCTGGTCCACCTAATAAAAAACACGAGGCCCCCCCCCCCAATAAGGAAACCTCGGTCGCATTTTTTAAAATAGGGGGTCCCTGAAATCGGGGGCCCAAAATAGGGTCACCTGGGAAGAGCTTCAAAACCAAAAAGTAAATCAGTAAAATTTTATATAAAATCCATTATTAAACTCGTATCAAAAATGCAAAAAAGCTCCAGATCTTCCTTTTCCCTACAAAAACCTTCATTAGAATAGTGATTCTTCAGTAGACTAACAGCTAAAGCTTTCGAAAGGTGATGTCGCTGTGCCATGCGGTGTTGCATGACCTCGGTGGCAAGTGCGTTTGCGTGAGTCCGTGCCATTGGGGGAAGGAAAGCCTGCTGGTGTAAGCGCGGCGTGTCATGGTGGATAGGAGGGTGGACAGAGGTGGGCAGTTACGGTTGTTTTTGGAGCCTAATTAAAAAAACTCCTCCAAAGTCGGCAATGTTGGTAGTTTAGTAGCGGCTTGAAAGGGCGGCAACTTAAAAACAAATATAAACCGTATTTAGGGGTTTCCGACATGACTTTTTTCTAATAAGGGTCCGTTTTTTAATAGGTACTCGGGATTAGTGGATGTGGGATTGACTACAGCCCCCGCCAGAACTCCTGGACTCAAATGCCCTGGCAAAGCCTGATATAGATCATCATTTGGGAGTTGAGCCAAGAGTCTTGAGGGGGTCTATCATGGCTCAGGATGATTGCAGGCACGGTGGACTTATTTGGTGCCTAAACGGCCCAACTCAAGCGAGGAACGTTACTTCGCCATACCAGTACTGTCTTAGATGCCTCCCCGACTCGGAAAGCCAGAATGGAATGGAAAAAAACTGTCTTGGATGCATCATGTATTCTATATAACTCGCCATAACAGACTGGCCCCCAGGGCATTTCTTGATTTTTCTATGTAGACCATAGTGACCATAGACCTTTTTTTTATTTGGATCTCTCCCTTTCTTGGGACGCGGTCGCATCCCACCCGATGCGATCCCACCGTTTCCGTGTCGCTCCGAGGCGCGACGAACGTGAGCCGCGACACCGTGAGCCGCGACGCGGCCGTGAAGGCCTGTGCCGACGGACTCCTTTGGGCCGAGGCCGTAAGCTTGTTGACGTCCGGGGGTGGTCCGCGCGCAGGCGCGGCGGGTTGGCGGTGGACGTGGAGGGCGCTAAGGGGGAGGTGGGGGGACCGGCAGCTGGGTGTGAGTGGTTGTAAGGGAAGATGGGAGGAGGAGGCCTTCTTCCAAAGGAGGAGGTGGCTCGGCTTTAGTGGGTTGGTTTTTCTTGATGTTTCAAATTCGCGAGAATTAGTCTTAGTTGACTCATAAATAGCCTTCTGGGAAAGATCATTTGCGGTCCCTTGTTTCCGTTTTTTTCGGGTTTTTGTTCTCACCTCAATGCCCTGAACCCATCAGGTGTCCAGAGCTTCTTGAGCGCTGCCTGGGCAATTTCGAGCGCTTCCACCTCCGAACACTTAAGCTTCAAGGTGATGATGGCTGCACAGGAGCTGCTCAGCTGCGGGTTCCCTTCGTGCCGGCATCGACGGCGATGGACGTACTGACCTATCATGGCCATCGTGTTTTTGTTTTATTTTTTTTACAGAATGGGGCGAATTGGGGGGTGGAGTGGTATACATTGTAGAAACGTGCACTTTTGGTGCAAGCAGCTTAGCAGCTAATCAACAGCTTGCAAATCACTTTGATTATTGGATCATAATTTTATCATCATTTGAATGCAGCAGAAACAATGCCACCCCCTCCCCAAAATCAAGAAAGGATGGACAAAAGCAACAAATACATTTGACATCTTTTGACAAAAATCATATCACTATTCTGATACTCGTTGCTGCCACCCACCCAGAAACTTCTGGAGTGTTGTTTCATTGTTGTTTCTTAGAGTGTTTTTTTTGGTCTTTTGCTTTGTTTTCTCAGACTCTTGGATATCCCCCCAATATACCTATTTATTTGTTCCTATTGGTTTCCTGTTAAATTCCTATTAGATTCCTACTGTTGATTCTTGTGGGCCCTTGTGCAAACCTTTTGTCAAAGGATTTAAATTCCTTTGACTACAATTGATTTCCTGTTCAAATTCCTTTTGGTTCTTAATGAGTCCATTCTTCTGGCATCTGAGCATTTGATACATAATGACATAATGCAGGCAACCTATCATTTGCATCTATGCTTCTAGCTGCTTCTGGCATCTTAACATCCGTTACGTAATGCAAGGAAGTCAAGAATCAAATCACCCCAGAACTCCCCAAAAGCCATTTCACAACTCCACCGCCCATGGCGCCCCGCTGGGCTCAAGACCCATATTTGGTCCTTCAAGGTCAAAGAGATCGCTCACATTGCATCACTTTACTGTGTGGGATCGCTACCATCGTAGACTTCAATCACTAGAATTGATTTTCTCAACGACCCTTTTGTTTAAACAGTTTGACACGATGATCACGAGGCCTGGACCTTTTGTTGGGTGATGAAGTTTTTGAAGTGCGCGGCTTACATACTAATTTGTTTGTTTTTTACCTCCCCGGCAGAGGCGTGTGGCAAAATGTATGTCAACATCGCACTTGTAAACTTTGAGTCCAATGTTACACAACGATCAAAGGAACATAAAAAATAAAATCTAGCTTGTAAACTTGTAACCATAGAATAGCCGCCTATGTTTGAGGCTTATTTTTTGGAGTTGTATAAGTGCTGACACAATCAAAGTCTTCAAAACCAGTCCTAGATCCTTCATTGTGTTGCTTGTTTTCCGTACACTATACTGGCTTTGTTTTCCTGACTTGTTCCTTCTTGCTTTCCTACCTGTCGTGTGTCCCTCTTCTCAAGTGTTCATTATTTTGATGACACGGTCCAAATGTAAGCACCAAGGCTCTAAGCGGCTCAACGCCTACATAGTGATGTTTTGACTGACTATCCAAAATAGTATACCCAGCAAGCTAGTTTCTAGGCCAAACTTCAACCAACCTGTGTTTCACTTGTCCACAGGTACACTTGGTCGCTTTTGGCTCTCCCATTGGTCCCGGTCACTGTTTCCCACCCGTCAGCTCAGGAAGGCCAGTCGTCAGCTCTTGCAGAATCCCTTGTCACCGGGCGCCTGGCACGATGCCGTGCTGGTGCGCCGAGTGGGTCGGCCGGTACGCGCAACCACCCGCTTCGTGCGACGGGGCGGTACGCGTTGAGATTGGCATGTTGTTGGTTCTTACCTGTGTTTGACAAGGCGAGAATGATCCTTTGACAGTGGTTGCCACGTCCCAAACCTCACAACTTTGGCCTTCCAAAAGCCTTGTAGCATGCAGAAGAACTCCCGGCCAAAATCACGGAGAGTTCATACTCCGCTAGGCGGAGTCTTTGATCCACCTCCTCCGCAGTGAGACTCCGTCTTTGGTGCGCGTGGCCACGAAGCGGGGCCAGCTGTTGCGGCGACTCAGCTGGACTCGAAACACCGTGTGTGAATCAAATTGTGTGTTTGTAGTCACAGTTAAATTTGTTATAAGTGTTCGTTTTTCATGTTTTTAGACATTCATTTGAAGGAGTGGCACTTGAGAAGTGATTCAGTGTACCTGCGGCAGGCCGTGCGGGCCGCGCCGTGCGGGAAACACCTGGAGACGTTTGCATTCCACAAATGAAGAAGGTGATCTTAAGTCCCGGGTTCTTCACCTCAATCGGATTGATCTTTTTGCAGTCTCGACCCACGTTTGATGGGGACAGCAAAGAGGGTCTTGCTTTCGAGCATGGCGTGACCATTGAGACAGTTTCTCAGTCAGATGAGCAAAGGGCTTGTCGTTGCTTTCTGTGAGAAATGACGCTGCTCAACGTCCTCACGTACTCAGGTTGCTGAGAGGCTATGTGACCTCACCCGTGGTGGCACAGCTGGCTACTGGCACCTGGACAGAAGACAAACGCGATCCCATTCGTAGTGAACGCGCCAGAGAAATTCGGATGTGTGGGTTTGGTACACCACTTGCAGCTGTCGGCAATCGGCAATGACCGTTGAATTTGTGGCGGATGATATGAGAACTCCACGCACCAATGGGATCCACATTATTGTGTACCTTCCTGGAGCAAGCTGTCATATGAATGTTCGTCCAACTGCTTGAAGCAGACTCGATGAAAACACCAACGCCAGTTCCAGTTCCTATGTATTCTTTGGTAAAGGGCACCTTCTTGTTGACCTGATTGACTGCATTGAATGGACCAGCCCGGAATTCTCTTTCAGGGGATCGATGTTCAATGCGCTACTGGTCCCCTCCCCCTTGTGATGACAAGCTCACCCTTCTCGGGGACTACCAAATGATCAGATTCATGTAGATGCAGCAGTTCAACACAAAATCCTTACTTTGAGGGCCTTGTGGACGTGTTATATAATGAATATGCAAGGGTTTGCCCTAAATCCAGGACCCACAGAAAACCCAGAAGCTTTCCAAATCCGCTCGTGCTGTGAGTATGCGAAGTCGTTCCCTAAGAAACCGGCATTCACCAAGTCAGTTAAACATGTTTGAACATATGTCATCATGCTTTGTATTCAGGAACATTGACTGTGGACCTGTGCTAGCAGTCTTTGACCCCAGATATCCTGAAAGTCGACAATGTCAAAGCAAAAAAGGAGCATTGACGGGGGAGACTAGCTGGCTTTCCAAGGAGTCCGAATTAAAGACTTTGGGACGCAGTGAAGTAGCCTAGATTCGAGTGGTTCCATTCGTGTGACCTCCGCTGCGCTGCGCTTGAGGTCGCGAAGTTCGGGAAGGCGGCCACTTGAGATCGGACTTGCTGGAAGAGCAATACACCTTTGGCAGGCTTTGTCACTTCCATTGAACTGGGGATGGTTGAAGAAAAAGGAGTTCTTCCGAAAAACTCATTCCAGGAGTTCCATGTCGGGGTGGTGTCCATAGAGTCTAGACCTGTATTGAGTGTGCAGTTCAGCTGCTTTTGCAACAAAGAACGCTCCAATCCCTGTTTGAGAGTACCGCGTGGCGCGTGGTGACCCTTTTGGAGAACTCAGGAGGAAATGACCAACCACAACACATCACACAGGTTCGACCTAATCAGAGACAAAGCTTTATATAACTTTTTTGCTGACGATTCTTCCCACTTCAAAGGCACAGGTGGGAAAAGGTGAATCTGTGTTTTCCAGTGACACTGAAGGGTTCAGACCGGGTCGGAGGTCAAAAAAGTGATCACCGAAACATATGTCGCAACCTGGTTCCAGGACTCGTCCGAATTGATTACTCTTTTCCAGGAAGATTCCCAGGTGTCATTTGATTCTTATTGCTACTAGTAGCGCTCTTGCTCCTAGTAGTAAGGCCAGGAGCCTCTAGTAGCGTTCTTGCT